TCAGATAATTCTACTTCTGACTTCTGTGCACTAACTCAGAGCTCAGCTGCTCATCTGTAGCTAAGGGATGGCTGCTGTGTGGTCTGGAGTCTGTGTCCTTCCTGTGAGCTTCTACTGTGGATCTCAGATTCTGATCTGGTTATGAATCCATTCTCACTACATTCAGAAGTTTCTTGGTGAATCTGCTTTCAAGACTCAGAGTGTGAGCAGTTTTATGTTGACAACAAGGATCCAAATGATTCTTGGTTGGTGATTATCTATGTGTATGCTCATAATAATATTTGAAGAATATTTTGGAGAAGACATTTTGATCAATGTAAATTCTGATAGGCACTTGCAAATGAAAAGTTAGTTTTCTTCAAGGGAATGTCCACAAAACAGACCACTGTCTAGTGTATTTCCATAGCAAGCAGTAAGCAGCCTACACAGAATCAACTCAGAGGCATTTTTGTGGTACTTTGCCATGTAAAGTTAAGTGAGGGATTTCCTATTATTAGTTTATTTGTTTATCATACAGGTTATTCATTTGTATAGTATGACTTCCACTTTTTGGTTTTCATGGGATTCATGAGTGTTTGAAAAAAATCTACCACAAGATTAGTAAATATAATGAAAAACCTGAAAGAAATAATTTCTAAATATAACACCTGTAGGACAGCTAATTTACTCTGCTATTCACATAATTTATTTGAAGACCTGGTTTATTTTACTGGCAGAACTGAAAAAGAGTCTGAAATTTTACAGTTAATGCTTTACCCCATATTCACAGCCTTCCCATTCCAAATACCCTGTGTGCAGCTCAAGCCTTTCACAGAGTATACACTTACACTGACAACCATTACCTCTCTCCATTCATTGGCTCCATGGCGCTCTTCTGCTACTGTAGAGCACTTGGTTTTGCTAAAATGAAGAAACATAAGTAGGTCGACCTGGCACAAGGGAATCCCCTTAGATTAATATATGCGAGATGTCTCTTTACTCAACTAGAGTTACCCAAGTTTCTCTAGCAGACAATCCTCCAACAAATATGAATTTGTGTGACGAATATGGATGGCATCGTACTAGGAATGACTTCCGATGAGTGTGGTTTCTCTTGACCAATTATGTGACAGTATGTTTACAATCCTCTGCTTAATTCAAAATGCTTCTCGAAATATTCTATGTAAGTGCAATGATGATAGTAGACATCGTAGAAACACTAGGAGACTCTGGATTCTGTCCCCAAAAGAAAATATGCTCCTAATCTCCAGGGGAAATTGGAGACTCCCTGCATGGCTGGTACCAGCAATCTACTAAGATAGGCTTGCAGAGGTCTGGATACAAGTAAAGACTCTTGGGTCAATTCATGAGTCTGTTGACAGGCTGTCAGTATCAGTGTCTGCTTGTCATTCATAAGTCACAAATGGGCATATTTAAAAGAATCCAACTATACACTGACATGTCCAAATATAAATGCATTCTCTGCATGTTTTTTAATGAGAACATGTGTTGATGCTTTTCCCCAAGGTTGATTGTAACTTATATTATCAGAAATGATTTTGCCATTGTCACAATGTTTACGTCCTTTGTTATTGCCAGGAACAATGCGGAACCTGTCCCTGTTTATGCCTGACAGTGGCCAATTGTCCTTGTCCTTAGGTACTACAACAGATGTAAAAACATGGCCTGGTGAAGTCCTCAGAAATCTGGTCCTTACCTGCACTGGCCCTGCTTACTCCATCATACTCTGATACATACTGAGGTTGAGTTTGTCCCAGAAATCAGGCTGTGGTCCTGGGAGAATGATGTTATCATGGAGGCACAGAAAACAGGTCGTTCTTCTTCAGGTTCAAATTCACCTTCAGAAACCCATCTGAGGAAGAGTTGTCCTCAAGTCTGACTTATGTGTTAGAAGTGACAGTCACATACACTCTGATGACCACACAGGGGGACATCTCAGTCAGGCCAACAAGCACTTCTGCTGTGGTCTCAGGAAGAGCATTAGTGCTATCTCCAGCAGGAGTCCCACAGCAGCCTGGAACTCTGGGTCAGACAAGAAGCAGGTGCAGAGGGAGCTAAGCATTTGTTTCCTTTGGGACCTTGAGCTTAACCAGAATAATAACAGTTTCCATTGAAAAACCCAAAACTCTATATGTTCACCTATCAAAATATAAAACTGTTTTAGACATGTCTACTTTCTTTATAAGCACACATACTCATCTTTACTCCTGCAGTTTGTCACTTATATGAGCAGAAATAACCCTGCCATTGTCACCAGTGTTAGACACTGAGGAATGATGAGGGTACCTGTTGATTTCATTCTGATGAGAGACAGCCCATCACTAGGATTATATGTTTAATAGTTGCGATTCAGACAGGAGCCCACAAGCAATCAAGGCTCAGTGAATAAAGTTACAAAAATTTCACATCTGACATGGCTCAGTCTATATTGTTTGTACCCCAATCCCTGAGATGATCTGGACTTTTCCTCTGACAATGAATTTCTCTTTTTCTTCAACTTTAACTAATTGCAACAAGCAACTAATTGCTTTTCTTTTCCAATAGAATTCCAAGACCTCCTTTTAACCCAAACTCTCTCTTCAAGATCAGGTCTCAGCAGAAAGTGAAAAGCTGTCACTGAGAAGTCTTTCAGTGTGATAACAGACACATTCAATGACCAGTTCTCCCTATGTGTGAGATCTGCTACCACTGAATTAAGCCCTTCAGTACATTACAGCAAAGAAAGAGAGCAGGTTTCCTGTGTACTCAGAAACAACCTCATTTTGAGGATGCTCAGGACCAGCAGAGGGAACTGCAGAACCACCAAAGACAATATAGTGAGACAAACATCTGAAGAGTGAGGGAGTCCTCTGAGACCCTAAGGTTTCCTGTTCTGACCTCAAATAACTGCTGAGAACATGCAATACAATTGGTGCATCTACTGTGAGACTACTTCAGACTTAGTATAATAAAAGTTCTTTGTTCAGTAATATTGCACATATATGTTTTAGTCATCAGATGAGAACCTTATAGGAAAGACAAACATCCATTTGTCATACATACAGGAAGGCAACAAATTTGCAAATAGACATCGTCATCAAAGCCATTATTAGCAGCATCTTATTCTATCTGTAACTTCTTCTGTCCCCTGGGGGAGGCGGTTTCTCAATTGGAATATTGGACAGTGACCTGAGATCTCATTCCTTGAAGTTACAGCCACAGTGCTGAGTCCTTGTAGCTCTGCTCTGGGAGACCTTGTCCCAAGATGTGATACACTGCCCTGTTTAGCCTTCTGATCAGAAAGGAAGAAAATTGGGATAATCACACAATCTGTCCTTTTCTGAATTTAGAATTTCATGTATCATTTTTCTCTGTATATTTTTCTAAAAGATAAGGTATTTAGCCAAATTGGTAATACATAACCTAATATGTGGTTTTTGTGATTTGGGAACAGTTTAGAAGAAAGTACCTTAAATCTAGACTGTCCTCATTCTCACTCACGACTCCTAAGAGAGATGAGAGATCCACATAATTGTGCCACTGCACTGTCCCTCACATGTGAGTTCTGACAACGTTTCATATGGCATCCTGATGCATGAGCCCCCTCCATCTATTTCCCATGCTCTGGAACTCAGCTGAGATCAGATTCATCATGGTCCTTTCTGGTATATAAAGGATGACTGTCCTTCAAAGCATCGGGATGTACTGAGTGTGTGTACTGCACCTGTTCTGGTATTCAGATGTACTCCCAGAACATTTCATTGTTGGTTAAAGACCAACTCCAGTTTTACCTGTGTAGAACTTCATCTTACTATGGAGATTCTTGACTTTAATGGTGATTTCTCATAAGGGATTCACTTTCTTTCAAGAACAAGTTTTAATAGGTATACTATTGAAAGACTCCATCTATGTATATATAGATAGAATTGATTTGATTCATTGAGGTATTAGTTAAGGAAACAAGAGAGGACACAAAAATGGACAGAGACTTACTGGAAAGTCCCAAGAGGAAACAGTCGGGCATAATGGGTATAGATATGCTCACACCATATTTTGTACATGGATCAAATTTCAAAAAATATAAAATGTAAAATACCAATTTTACATAGTTGTAGAAATTTCATACACATGTATTTCATACAGTTGTTTCCCCCATAATCTCTACTCTCATTTCCCCTCCTCCTTTACTTTTATCCTAATAGACGATTTCACTTGCACTTCATCATGCATTTTTATTCATAGTTGTATGTAAGGATGCAACATCTAAGAACTACTAAGGAGAGCCTCATTTAATGTCTGATATCTAAGATGGTCATAATTAACAGATTTTTCTCTAGCTGCATCCATTTTTCCATTTCCATAACTGGTATAATTTCCAAATTCCTTGTAGATGAAAAATTTCCTTTGTGCTGATAATATAAATGTGTCTTCTTGGTGAGATCCTCTGTTGAGAGATACATAATTTAGTTATTTTGACATTGCTGCAATAAGCACTGTTGTGCAAATATTCTGACATATATTTGCTTTGGTTCATTATAGTCAGTTTTGTAGTATATGGTTTATTGAAAGGCAAATATTAACTGCATATATCAGAAAGGAGTTTGAAAAGTTCAAACTCAGCAGGTTTTAAATTTCCCATCACTGATATCTTAATCACAGTCACCATCTGTAAATCAGTCTGATAACCTTGTTCCAAGTGGATCCACTCTATTAGGTCTGATAGCTATTGAGAGTTAGGTCATAATATTACTTCCTCATCATCTGCAGAGGACCCAGGGAAGAAGGATACTATATATATATATCTTTAGAGAGAAGTAGGACTGGAACCTCATGATCCTGCTGCTAGATCCAGGTGTCCTCTAACTTGTTCTCCAGTAGGACCAGCTCCTTATTTAAAAATTACCATTATCATGAATATTCAAATCATCTGAGTCTATGGTGGTAAATACAGAGATGTCCACATCACCCCCAACATATGATCAGTGTCCTCTCCACAGTTACTGAACACAGAGGTCCTCACCATGGGATGGAGCTGTATCATACTCTTCCTTGTGTCCGTAACTATAGGTAAGTTGCTCCAAGTTCCAAACCTGGAGAAGAAACTGGGTGTTATGTGACAATGACCCCTACTCTGTATTTTTCTCTACAGGTGTCCGATCACAGGTCCTGCTGCAACAGTCTGGGCCTGAGCTTGGGAGACCTGGTTCCTCAGTGAAGTTGTCATGCAAGGCTTCAGGCTATACTTTCAGTAGATACAATATGAACTGGGTGAGACAGAGGACTGGACAAGGCCTGGAGTGGACTGGATGGATTGATACTACAAGTGGAAATACTAAATATGCACAGAATTTCCAGGGCAAGGCCACACTGAATAGAGACGTATCCTCCAGCATGGCGTACATGGAGGTCAGCAGCCTGACATCTGAGGACTCTGCCATCTATTCCTGTGCAAGACACCCAGTGTTGCACCCACATCCTGAGTGTGTCAGAGACCATGGAGGAGCAGGAAACTACCCAAGAATGGAGATGACAGAGACGATCAGTCTGGGTACTTGCTCAGAAATAATCTTTCCTGAGTTCCCTTCTCTGCCTCGTTGTCAAACATCTATATTGCTTAATTCAACCTTGCAAAAGACATGTGAGTAAACAGTGGTTTTGACATAGGATGCCTCTAGAGACTCCATATCATGAGAAAATGTTGGTCGGTGACTGCCTGAATTGACACAGTTCTTTAATAAAACAATAAAAAGGAAAAAACTGTGATGATGAATTATGATAAAAAATACATTTTTATCTTGAATGATGTGACATTTTGCAACAAGAACTGAGAATAAAGTATAATGCACATTTGACCTGTGCAATCCACATCACCAACATCTGACAAATAAAAGCTCCTTTCACAGTGTTAAATCTTAAGTGACCTCAATGTGGATTTTTGACCATGTGTTCCAGCAAAAGTTCCCTTATCATAAAATGAAAGACATATTTATATCAGAATGCACTGCCTTTTTAGTATGATTTTCATAAATTGGACAAATGTATTATTACAATTATTGCATTACTCTCAAGATCACATTTATCAACACATTATATATATATATATATGGAAATTGAGGTATATTCAGAAATACACCTAAGTCACTGTTGTTCTAGTGCCACATTTATTGCCTTCCCTGTCCATGTACCCAACTCTACAGTATCAAGTCTTTAGATAAAATGGGCCTATATGATACAACATCAAGTCCTTTGTATCCTGCTGGTCATCCTGATGATATAGTGTATCTGATTTTCAACAAATTGGTGAGTTACAACCAACACGGAGACAAATGGTACTTGGTAGTCTGAAGTGTTTGATGGAATGTGATGTCTCATATCACAGAATATTAATTTTGCATTTCCAGGCAGTGTACATCCCCCACAATCAGTATGAATACAATGTGATTAACATGGGTGAAATCTATGCTGAATGCATTGTGGCCTGCATGGATCCCCTAGGCCAATTATATGTTAGAGATTTTTGCAAACCCATGCTGAATTTAAAATACTGCTTGACCCAACAATCACTGTATAAAACACTCTCATCTCTTCCTCCAACTGAAGAGCAGGGACTGAGCAGAAGGTTGAGATTCTTCCCCTCCTGGACCGTGACTGAATGAGATTCTCTGATGTACCAGGAGGCATCTGTTAGTGGCTATAAAAACTTGACGTCAGGACTTATCTACTGTCTTCTGGAGAAATCAGTTTGAAGCCAAAATCCCTCACACTGCAAAGTTTCCTGCTTTGTACAGACACTTGGGAATCATTGTTGGTGTACCACAGGAGGCTGTGAGGACATCTATCCCACCATCCAAAACACCACTCTTGTCCTTATACCCAAAGGGTTCTACATCTGACTGGAGATACTGTCTCAGCCATATTCATTGCTGTTCTCTTCATAATACCAGAATTAGAAGCATCATAGATGTCTGTCAATAGAAAATAGGTGAAGAAAATATGGTACAATAACTGAAAACCCTTAGATCCATATTCATGACATGCCTACAGGTCAGTGTGATGTAATCATGTCCAAAAGATTGAAGAATAAATCACCCTATCTCATATTAGATTTTAGCATCACTTCATATGACCGAATGAATCTTAACATTATTTATGGCAAGAACCTAGGAATACACTGGAGGATTCTACAGTAATGACATTTATACAATATGCTTTGATGCAGTAGAATCTAAAACATGTGGAATGAATCAACCAATATCAGATTATGGTTAAAGAATGGAATGTTATGTTTATGAGATACAATCAATTCTGATACTGTGTTGGACGAGAACCTAAGATTAGGTAGTTGGAACATGGGAAAATAGTCCTGTTATCCTTAATGAACTATCAATAAAACAATTCCAATGAATTCTGCTATATTCATATAACTTTTTCTTGTTCAGTCATTATTAGAGAACCTCCTGCAATAGTGGAGAATGCAGAGACAAGCTGGACAATGTGCCAAAAATGAGTGACCTTGGAACATTCAATGTAATGTCTCCTTCAAATCTGTCTCCACAGAGCTTAGGGAACACTCAAAAGAGGATACTCACAGATTCTAAATTCCATAGGGATTGTAGGACACCACGGAGAACCAGCTTTCCAGATACAACAGGATTGATGCAGACATGAATTCCCTGATGTTGTAATTTAAGAAGAGAGGCACTGGAGGGAAGATGCCATGCCACAGGGATCAAGGAGAATATTTTTAATTAGAGAAAGAAATCATAAAAAGGGAGAATAGAAATGGAGAGACAAGATCCAGAGACAAGGGCAGCAGGAGACAGGAGAAAGGAAACAGGGGTAGAGGAAGGAAGGAGAGAGAGAGAGGTAAAGAGGGGAACAGATAGAGGGAGGTAGAGAAAGAGAGAGATAAGGATTGGATATAGGCAGTGTCCCTTTATAAGGGAACATGGTGAATATACACAGATAGTGCTCTTAGTGGCTGCAGCTGAGGGCATTTTCTGTCAGTTCCCTAAGGACAGGAGAGTACAGATACTCACATACTAACAGGTGAGAGTCTATGACAGCATTACAGTGTATTAATGGGTATAAACCAGATGGAGTTGTGAGGCTCACAGGGGAAGTGGACAGAAGCTATCTCCAATGGATAATTTCTTTACAAAGACAAAATATTTTGTAATGTTGTCTCACTGGGCATATAAACTACTCTTAAGGAAGGTCTCATGCCTATAAGTAGATGGCCAAAAAATTGAACTCAGTGATATGTTGCATATTCTTTGTCTCATAATGTTTGTCAGGACATTTTTCCTCCTATAGGATATATATATATATATATATATATATATATATATATATATATATAAATTTAGGCTTCTACTTTTGTGATTCTCAAATGGACAAGTTATAGAGCATGAAAGATACATGTGTACTCAATCATAAATGTGTTGTCTTAGGCAAAGTTTCTCCTCAAGTCTCAGGGACAGATGCAGGAAAAGATAAACAGATATTTAAGACCCACAGATATGGAATGAGTCCAAGGTTACAGTCTCTTCCAGACACAATAAACTGGTGCATACATGAACTCACTACACTGTAGATGTTAATACAGGGCTTGCACAAGTTCAAGCCAAATTGGGATTCCAATGCTGGGAAGGGGAACTGGACATGGTCACTCAATCCTAAATGATAAACTATCTACAACTGGTACTTACATGCAAAGTAAAAAATAATGTGCTTCAGTAGAATGTCATTGACTGCATTAAACACATTTCACAGCAGGTCTTATGCCTAAGATGCAAACAAAACAAGAAGAACTGTATTTTTGTACAATTATATTCATTTCTGATTTTTTGTGTGCTTGTGGATGTTTGTATGTCTGTGTGTGTGAGAGAGAGAGAGAGGGAGAGAGAGAGGGAGAGAGACAGAGAGAGAGAAAGAGAGAGAGAGACAGACAGACAGACAGAGAGAGAGACAGAGAGAAAGAGAGAAATTACTTGTGTTTTTTTTTCTTGTGAGGGGATCAAGGATTGCTGGGAAAAGGTAATTTATGATTACAATATATTGCTTAAAAATTATTTTTCACTAAGAAAATTTAGAATCTCCCTTCCAAAATAACTCATTGATTGTTATTTGATAAATTATGACAGAGAGGTTATACATAATATGTTAATTTATGTATCTGTCATGTGCAATCTAAACAACCTGTTTAGAGTTTACCAACAATTTCCGGTCAGTTGTCAACTATACTATTGATAATTTCTGTCTAAACTGCTCCGTTGTTTTCTCAGAACATGTGCAGAATCATCAGAGATATGTGCTTATTTTCACACTTACTCAAACATGGACACAGTCAGACAGGTCTCTCTTATAGCAAAGATGGTATTTCAGTTAACATTAGCTTATTGATTGTTATCCTATATTGCATCATCAAGAAATGATTTATTGTCCATGACTCTCATGTAATTCTCATGTCATTTCCAGTTGTCCTAATGACATCTTCAAGACTGTCTTCATGGCCCATGTATCTACTGTAATTCTGATGTCATTTCCAAGGCATGTCTCTAAGATTTGGGTTCTTCCTAAAGATGGTCAAGTTTCACTTTCTCTAAGTAGAGCTGTGTCTCATTATCCATTCTTGGAAACACAGTCCTGCTTCAATACTAAGTTCAAAAATATTTTAGCTTCTTAGAGTCACCCAGGGCCTCAGATGCATCAATAGTTACTCATTTATACATGTGAATCCTTTTCCTATAGAGGCTGTATTGTGAAAGCTCAGTTCTCTTTAGTTAGAACCAAGAGCAGGAGCCCATTTCAGCATGATGGGAAGAAACAACATGTACACAAAAGCATATACAATGTGCAACATATATTTTACACGTGAGCTTGACTTCAACATCCCTTTCATGTAACAAGCCCAGAGTACATGAGGTAGTCAAAGCACCCACATATAGAAATGGAATGTTGAGTTCCATGTGACACTCGAAACTTTTCATTGCAGGAGAATTTGTATATGATTGAAATACATTTGACTCATGGTCACACTGCTTATATCCAGACACATCCATCTACACTTCAATGTACAGCATATTTTAGGGGTTGTTAAGTGTGCTGACAAGTGACACATGTGCATGCATATGGACAAACATATGAGTTATACATATTGTGGCACTGGATCCACTAATTCTTTGGAGATGATAGTGAATTATTCAACTTACTGCTGTCATTCTCTAAGGTACAGCAAGGGCACTCAAGACTGAAAATCAGTTGCTATGAGTTTACATGACTAGGAGGATGCTGAGCTTTGGGAAATTAGATCCAGAGAGAACATATTCATCATTTTGTCCCAGAAAGTTTGAAGAATAATGAAAGAACTATCCCTTCTAAGTCTTTACATAGAAATGTACAGCCACACATGATACAGCTGCTCAGTTAGCACACAGAATGATCCCCTCCAAACTTCCCTAAATTTTTGTCACTTCTCAAATTTGAAAATACGTTCTAGAGTGGGGAACAGATCTGCGTGTACCTAATTTATTCATATCCCAGGTGTTGATAGTTTTCTCTACCAAGTGCAGGTGGAGGTTAGGAAATTGCTTTAGAAAGCAATTGTGAGTTCTGTCCATCATGTGTGCTTCTCTGGTTACTCCGTTAATCACAAGTGGTCATGGCAAAAGCTACATCTAACAGACCCTAGAGAAAGGACTAAGTTCATGGAGAAAGACTTTGAGGCACAGCTCCTCATCCATACTTGAAATCTCTGTTCATCATCACCAGGTCCATTACCAAGAACATGACAACTTACACAAGCCTGTTCTCAGAAGCAGCAGGGGCCACTGTGGATCCATCAATCTCTAAGAAGTAAAGAACCACAGAAGCAGGTAATGATGCTGTGCAATCACGAGATTTAAACACACTCTGCGCATTTCATTGCCAGTGTCTAGTATATTCAGAGTCCAAGGTGTAGCTGATATCAGAGATCTCCATGCTAGAACATTGGAGATATTATTTGTTAAATAAAATCCATAATGAGGTCAACAATATTTAGAATGGATTCACACAGTTGCTGGATAAGACAATAGTTCATGAAAGAGTTATCAGGAAATGTTAAGGGTATTTGAGATCTAGGAACCTGAGCAACATTTTGGGAAAAGTGTCCCAATTAATGCAAGAGGTGTGCACATTTCTGCTGATCACTACTGTGGAATGGACAGCAGCATCCAAAGCTCTGTCCCAGTATGGTCAAAACAAGTCCTCTGCATCACAAATATGTTTAACTGTAAGGAGGTTCAGATGACCACTGAACTCTTGAAGTATAGTTCACTTTATTGAACATGGATGTGGTGACTGAATTCTCACTGGGATGGAAGAGCTCTGTCAATACAGGTTCTGGTGTGAAAGCGGGAGAAAGGGCAAAAAGCTAGAAATCCATGTGTGATATAATAAAAAAACGTATTGCTACTTTGATATTCATTGCACCATGCCCATACTGTAACTGTAATACTGCATTAATTAAGGAATTAAGCTAGTAGTATCTATTTATATTCTCCAAAGTCTGAGAATTTTGTGAATTTTAAGAGGAAAATGTCTCAATTGTATTCAACTAGATAAGCACTCTTGTCCATTTCAGCCTTTGATAGTCATCAGAATCCCATGGACTGGAGTATGAAATGCAGGTTTATAGAAAGAGAATGTGAAATGTCCAGATAAAACCATCCAGTACTCTGAATTGTAGGGATGAGTCTTTGTCTATAAGGAGAAGAGGTGAACTTCTGGTATCAGACTTTACACATTAACTAAATGCATGTTTGGTTGCTGCTCTACTTCATGCATACATTGAATCCAGTTACTCACAATATCATCATATACCATGCTCTCCTCACACAAATCACCTAACAGTACCACCATTTTCTATCCAAGTCCTTGAGAATTTTGAATTATGTGTTTGTAGTTACAGTTTATCTAACACCTGCTCTCTCTATAGTGCTTTTCACCTAGCATGTCACAGTGATGAACAGGAAGACCAAGACAGGCCTACAGTACTGATTGGAAACATTAAATAGATTCTCAATTTGACTATATCTGAACTCTTGAATTTTGAATGTAAGGAAGTAGTTCAGAGAAATGGTATATGGGCATTGATGTACTTTAATACAGCTTTACAATAATATTTTCTAATTTTTAAGTCATTATTGGAGAGGGAGAGTTAATCTGCATTTATATAAAGTTGTTGGATTAAATTGCTGAATTTTAATTTTTAGACTACATCCTCCTCACTTGTCTTCATTTTCCCCTTGGAACCAGAAATAATTTAACTACCTTTGTAATATTTAAGAAAAATGATTATATTCACTACAGCTCATATCACAGATTTAAGACAGAATACCACAGTGTTATGTCCTCCATGCCCAACGAGTATGAAACCCAACATCAGTGTTCCTGATTAGAAATGAAGTTCTTTCTTCAGAAGAGTCTGTTGCCTGCCTTCCCTTCATTCAGGCATCAGTGAATCTTGCATCTCTGATCCTTTGTCTCTGTTACACAAAGTTGACATCCAGGGGAGGATGTCACTCTAGATATGTTTTTCTTATTTGTTGATGAATAAGACACTGTTTGACCAATAGAAGAAGGAAGATAGATGGGACTAGGAATCTAGGAGAATTCTGGGAAAGTTAGGCATAGAGAGATCAAAGAAAGATGCCATACAAGACCTGATGTTACACTCCCAGGAACTCCTCTGACCTGAGGGAAGGCTAAGTGTACAATTCCTCAGACAGGATTAGGATATGGAATCAGCATACTTTGCCTGATTCATGTGTCCTCAGCCACATTTTTCTTCAGCTGTACTAGATTTTCTTTCTGGTGTACTATTCAAAGACTCCATCTATGTGTATATAGATAAAATTGATTGGATTCATAGTGTTATTAGTTAAGGAAAAAATAGAGGACAACAAAGACGGACAGAGTCTTACTGGAAACTTCCAAGAGGAACCAGTAGGGCATAATGGGTATAGATATGCTCATACCATATTTTGTACATGGATCAAATTTCCAAAAATATAAACTATAAAATACCAATTTTACATAGTTGTAGACATTTCCTACACATGTATTTCATACAATTGATTCCCCCATAATCTCTACTCTCATTTTCCCCTTCTCCTTTACTTTTATCCTAATAGACGATTTCACTTGCACTTTATCATGTATTTTTATTCATATTTGTAGGTAATCATGCGATACCTAAGAACTACTGAGGAGAGTCTCATTTAATGTCTGATTTCTGAGATGGTCTTAGTTAACACATATTTATCTAGCTGCATACATTTTTCTATCAGTGACATAATTTCCAAATTCCTTGCAGATGAAATTTTTATGCTGTCACCAGACTCATGAATTGACCCAACAGTATTTATTCTATCCCTATCCCTGAAAGCCTATCTGAGTAGATTTCTGGTATCAGCCATGTAGGCAGTCTCATAATTTCATTTTGGAAGCCCCATAGTTACAAGTGGGAATGGGCAGAATCCAAAGTCTCCTGGTGTTTCTATGATGTCTACTATCATCATTGTGCTTACATAGAATATGTCAAGAAGCATTTTGAATTAGGCATAGAATTGTAAATATTCTATCACATAATTGGTCAAGAGACACCACACTCACTGGAAGTCTTTCCTAGTATGAATTCATCCTTATTAGTCACACAAATTCATATTTGGGAATCATCTCTAGAGATGTTGAATCTGTCTTTCACTGAATCCGCATATTAGGTTTCATAAATATTGGGTTAGTTAATATGCGAGCAATCCACTATAGTCCCTTCCCTGGAGACTTTCCAGGCAGTGATAAGCCTCCTCCAGACTCCACAAGCTGTACCTCACACTGGACACCTGCAAACAGAGATGATATTGATCAAGAAATCCTCACGCGTGTCTACTGTTTCTCCCATTCTTGTCTACTCACTCACTCAGTATCCCGTGTCATCTACCTTTTAAAAGAGAAACAAAGAAAACCCAATGCCGCCACAACGACATGTGGTTACAGGTTCTCAGTATCAGTGTCTGTTTGTCATTCATGAATCAAACATGGGCATGCTTAAAAGAAGCCAACTATACATTGACATGTCCATATATAAATGCATTCCCTGCATGTTTTTTATGAGAACATATGTTGATGCTTTCGCCAAGGGACATGGTAACTTATACTATCAGAAATGACTCTGCAATTGTCACAATGTTTAGATCCTTTGTTATTGCCAGGAAAACTGCAGAACTTGTCACTGTTTGTGCCTGACAGGGGCCAATTGTCCTTGTCCTTAGGTACCACTAAAGATGTCAAACTTGGCCTGGTGAAGTACTCAGAGATCTGGTCCTCACCTGCACTGGCCCTGCTTACTCCATCACACTCTGATACATACTGGGGTTGAGTTTGTCCCAGGAAAGAGGCTGTGGTCCTGAGAGAATGAGGTTACCATGCAGTCACTGAAAACAGGTCATTCTTCTTCAGGTTCATCCTCACCTTTAGAAACCCATCTGAGTAAGAGATGTCCCAAAGACTGACATATGTGTTAGAAGTGACAGCCACATATTCTGTGTTGCCCACACCGAGGGACACCATGGTCTGGCAAACAGCACTCGAGCTGTAGGGTCAGGAAGAGCATTAGAGTTCATTTCCAGTGGAGTCCCACAGCAGACTGGAACTCAGGGTCAGTAGAGGAGCAGGTGCCGAGATTGTCTAAGCATTAGTTTTCTTTGGGACCTTGAACTTACCCCAAATCTAATGGTTTCCCTTAAAAAACCCAAAACCTCTATATGTTGACCTATTAAAATGGAACAAAGTTTTAGAAGTGTCTGTGTTCTTTATAAGTACACATACTCATTTTTACCCATGCAGTTTGTCACTTATCTGAGCAGAAATCACCCTGCCATTGTCACCAGTGTTAATCACTGAGCAATGATGAGGGTACTTTTGATTTCATTCTGATGAGAGACTGCCCATTACCTGGATTCTATGTTTAATCTTTGGGATTCAGACAGGAGCTCACAGGCAATCAAGGCTAAAACTACAAAAATTCATATGTGACATGGCTCTGTCTATATAGGTGTGTACCTCAGTCCCAGAGATGATCTGGACTTTTCCTCTGAAAATAAATTTCTCTTTTTCTTAAACTTTAATTAATTGTTCTTTTCCAATAGAATTCTGAGACCTCCTTTTAACCCAAATTCTCTCATCAAGATCATGTCTCAGCAGAATGTGTAAAGCTGTTGTCGAGAAATCATTCAATGCCCAGTTCTCCCTAAGGCTGAGATCTGCTACCACTGAAGTCAGCCCTGAATTACATTGCAGCAAACACAGTGAGGAGGTGCCCTGTGTGCTCAGAAACAACCTCATTTTGAGGATGCTCAGGACCAGCAGAGGGCACTGCAGAATTCTCCAGGAAAGAAAATGTAGTAGGAGACACAAAGATCTGGAGAGTGAGGGAGTCCTCTGAGACCCAAAGCTTTCCTCTCCTGACCTCAAATAACTGCCAAGACCATGCAATACACTTGGAGTATCTACTGTGAGAATATTCCAGACTTAGTATAGTAAAAGTTCTTTGTTTAGTAATATTGCACATATATGTTTTAGTCATCAGATGTGAACCTTATAGAAAGGACAAACATCCACACACATATAAGAAGGCAACAATTTTCAAATAGACATGTTTCTAATTTAAAATTTAAAAGTAAGGAAAGCATTCATAGACTATTGTGAATTATAAGGCCTGAAAGATGAGAGAAAGGCTGTAAAACACTATGCCCTGGTCATGAAAAACTATGGCCATTATTAATTCCCTGGCAGCTACAGGTGCTTTCACTGTACCTGTACCTTAACATTCTAACCGTAATGTTGGCTGCATAATGGAGAGGCTCTTGGGGGCCTAGTACTTCCCTTATAGACTGATGATTCCTGACAATTATGGTGAACAGAATATTGATTTTTTAATTATTCAATTTTTTGAACAGGATATTACATTAAAACGTATACTCACTAGTGTACATACCAGGTTTCACTTGTTTTAACTATTTGAACATTCCTTGTTAAAATTATTGGTTCATAAAACAAGTGAAATATAATTGAACATGTGAAAAGACATTGAGGGAGAAAGGAGGAGGTTGATAAGAACAAGAGGAAGGTAAGTCAGATGTGAGTCTTTGACGTGTATGTAATTTTCAGAAATAAAATTTAATCAATGGAAACAAACAAAACACGGACAAATAAATATTTTTCTTTTCTAATAATATTCTGAGACATCTTTTTAACCCAAATTCTCTCATCAGGATCAGCTCTCATTAGAAAGTGTACAGTTGTGACTAAGAATACCCTCAGTGTGTCAGCGACACTTTCAAGACCAGTTCTCTTTCACTGAAGCTGAACTATGCTACCACTGAGAACACAGCCTTGCACAGCACTGCAGCAAACACCGTGAGCAGGTTCACTCTGTGCTCAGAAACAACCTCAATCTGAGGATGCTCAAGACCAGCAGGGAGTGTTGTAGACCAAACTTTTACCAGGAAAGAAAATGCAGTAGGTGAGAGAAACATGTGGAGAGTGAGGGAATCCTCAGATCCTAGATATTCCTGGCCTGACATCCAGCTGAGACCATGTAATATACGTGATGTAGCTACTGCAGCCAGACTCCATACTTAGTAGAGTAACAGTTCTTGGGTAAGTAATATTGCCCAGATATTGTAATCATTAATTGGTAACTTTATTGGAAGGACAAATGTCCATTGGACATACAGGTAAGAAGGTCACACATTTTCACACATGAGGTGTCAGATTTCCAGTCATCAGCATCACAGTCATCAGCAGCAGCATCTGTCATTCCAGCTCTAGCTTCTGTCTCCTGGGGGAGGGGTTTGCTCAGCTGGAATAGTTGACTGTGACCTGGGATCTCAGGCCTTGAAATTCTGGGCCCAGTGTTTTGCTCATGTAACACAGTGCCCTGTGCATCCCGCAGCTTAGGGAATGAAAGAGGGAGAAGCTGGGGATAATTACACTATATGTCTTTCACCACATTTAGGATTTCATCTCTCCTTTTTCTCTGTGTAATTTTTCTAAAAGGAAAAGTGTTTAGTCAAATTGGGAATACCTTGCCTAATACATGAATTTGTGTCTTGGGAAAAGAATATAGAAGAAAGTACATTAAATCCAGACTGCCATCATTCTCACTCAGGATCCCTAAGGTAGACAAGATGAGACGTCCTCATCCCTAACCCACTCCACTGTCCCGCACACATGAATTCTGACAATGTTTCATATGATATCCTGATGCATGGGCCCCTCCATCTGTTCCCAACTCTCTGGAACTCACCAGGATCAACTTCAGCACAGACCTTTCTCATGTTGAAAACGTGAGAGTCCTTCAGTAGGTGTGATGTCCCATGTTTATGTCCCACCCCTGTCCTGGTGTTCATATTTACTCCCAGAACATTTCATTACTGCTTAAGAACCAGAACAAAAGTCAGCTTTGAAGAATTTCATTTTACTATGGAGATTCGTGAGATTAATGGTGGTTTCTCCTAAGGATTATCTTTCTTTCTAAAACCAGTTTTCTTTCTGGTATACTAGTTCAGGACTCCCGCTATGTGTTATAGATAGAGATGATTGGATCAATGTCATATTAGTTAGTGAATCAAGAGAGGACATGAAGAGGGACAGAGATTTATTGGAAAGCCTGAAAAAGGAAACATTGGGTATAGATATGATCATACTATGTTTTATATATGGATTAAATTAAAAATATAAAATATGAACGGCAAAATATCATATTTACAGTTTTAGAATTTTCATACTCATGTATTCTGTTCTTTGTGTTATTCCCCACATAATCTCTTCCCTTCATTTTCTCTCCCCTCCTAGTTTACTCTACTAGGCAACACACTTATACTTCATCATGCATTTTTATTCATAGTTGTAAGCAAGAAATATCTACAAACTACTGATGAGAGTCTCATTTGACACCTGATTTCTGAGATTGCCTTAACTAATGCATTCATCTCTAGTTGCATCCTAACTGATGCCACCCTCTGTAAATCAATGTGACAACATTGTCCCAGGTGAAACCACTGTCTCAGGCCTGACATCCTTTGTGACCTTAGGTGATGATGTTTCTTCCTCAACATCATTTGAGGTCTCTGGGAAAAAGGATGATATACATATTCACGAAGAGGATTAGGACAGGACCTCATCATCCTGCTGCCTGACACAGGTGTCCTCTATCTTCTGCTTCAGTTGGACTATGTCCTTATCTAAGAAGCTGCCTGCTCATGAATATGTAAATCAGGTGAGTGTGTTGTGGTAAAAACAGGCATGTCTACAACAAAGCAGCATATGATCAGTGTCCTCTCCACAGTCACTGAGCTCACAGGTCCTCGCCATGGGATGGAGTTGGATCATCCTCTTCCTGGTGACAGCAGCTACAGGTAAGGGACTCCAAGTTCCAGATGTGAGGAGGGGCCATGCACTCAGGGGACAGTGACATCCACTTTGCCTTCTCTCCACAGGTGTCCTCTCTCAGGTCCAGCTGCTGCAATCTGAGTCTGAGCTGGTGAAGCCTGGAGCATCAGTGAAACTGTCCTGCAAGGCTTCAGGATACACCTTCACTAGCTATTATATGCACTGGGTGAAGCAGAGGCCTGGACAGGGCCTTGAGTGGATTGGACGGATTTATCCTTATAATGGTGTCACTAAGTACAATCAGAAGTTCCAGGGCAAGGCCACACTGGCTGCAGACAAATCCTCCAGCACAGCCTACATGGATTTCAGCAGCCTGACATCTGAGGATTCTGCAGTCTATTACTGTGCAAGAGACACAGTGTGCAAACACATCCTGAGTGTATCAGAAACCATTCAGCAGGAGGAAGCTGCCCTGGACCTGAAATGATAGAGAGGATCAGCCTGGAAATTTGCCCATAAATCATTACACTGAGTGTCACTTTGTCACTTCCCAGACTTAGAGCGTATTGTCAACGTTTCAAAAGGACTGAAGGAAATAAGTTACATTGATTTCCACTGCCCTTAGACCTCACCATAACTTGATCAGCTGTTTAACAGTGACCTTACCCATGAATATTATTCCTTTTTAAAAAAGCAAATATAGGATAAACTGCAGCAATACATCATGATGTTCATAGCTCTTACATAGAAGGTTCTGGAAAATTTTCTGGAGTAGCTATGAATGGGATATAAATTAATTATTCCCATAAGAGACAAATCAATAGTATGTGAGGTAATTAATACCTGTTTCATATTCCAATTTTGTTTGCCTAAAGCAAACAAAGAAAGTTTGTGGGAAGGGATCCCCAATGATTTGGGGATAGATGTTACATGGATTTAGTGATAAGAGAGTCCTCAGTCTTTGTAGAATTTCCTTGACTGCATGTAAGTCAGGGAAAAAAACCTTAGGATATTTTGTAAGTGTGAACTAACATCCATTGTTACCAAGGTAGACTAGGTAAGAAGCAGCAGGGAGGGAGAGTTGTAAGGGATAGAGGGGGTAAGAGAAAGACATAGACAGAGAAACAGAGAGACAGAGAGACACACACAGAGCACAAAGAAGAGTGCATATGCATGGGGAATGTCTGGCAAGAGTTTGGTGAGGGATATGCTAAAATATATTGTATGAAAAAAACAGTAAATGTTATAAATTTCTTCATGGTTTTATTAAAATGAAAAATACTGTGCTCACATATTAAAGAACAGAAGGGAACTTGAGCCAAATCCTAAGCCTCCACTAACACCCTCTGTCACTCCTTCCTCACTGGAAAGGGGCACACACTACTCTGCTCAGACTTTTTTCTCTTGGTCATGTCCATCCCCAGAGAAAAACATCTCTCTTTGACTAAAACACTCTCACAACTGGCTAGGGGACCAGTGACAGAATTCCCACACCAAATAAAAGAGAGAGAAAAAAGCAAATGAAAAGCTGGTCCCCTATGAAGCTGAAAACTTTCCATTTTGTTTAGTTTGGATGAGAGACAAAAGTTCTATAAAGAAACCTGAGTTTTGTATCACTGGATACAAATCGCAGTCCTGGATCATCAGGTGTCTTGGCTGAGAACAAGTTCCTTTGCATAGAACAGCTGGGCACTAGGACCCTGAAATCATGCTGGGGAACTATCAACTGAAAATTCCGTAATGCTATGCTCTTATCACTCCTTTGTTAGGTGAAATCGATGTGTGAATATTCCTTCTTATGCTCTTCTTCCTGAAGT